GGCAGCGCCTGTGGCTCAAAGGAGTAGGGCACCAGCTCCATATGCCGGACGTGGTGGGTTCAAACCCAGCCCCAGCCAAAAACTGCAAAAAAAAGAATTTAAATGTGTGTGTGTTAGCTCCTGATCACTTCATGCCGTAGGGTCAAATGTGTGCTTGGAGTTCGGGGTGATGCCTTGTGTTGGATCAGAGGGGGTCTGCACCCTGGCCCCCGACAAGACCAGCCTTCAGTACACCTGTTCACCCAGAACCTTCCTGGCTTCCTAATTAGGATTGACAAAGGGATAGAGACTACTTTTGAACTTTTCATTCATTCACAAATATTAAGGGCCTGCTGTGCATCAGACCTAACAAAAAACAAGGCGAACGACCCTGCTTTAGAAGCGCACATTCTAGAGGGGAAGATGGATGAAGGTGTAACAGGATTCTGCACAGAGAGTGACTTGAGGGGCAAGGCAGCAACTTTGGATAGGGTGCCCAGGGCGGAGAGGGCTCTCTGAAGCAGCAGTATAAAGTCACTGTGAAGACACAGAGGAAACGTACCTGGCAGAAGGAATTGGGGTTGCGAAACCCTAGTGGTGGGAAGGAGACAGGAAATGTCAGTGTGGCGGGAGCCTGGTTTGCCTGGCTTACCTGGGAGAATCTTCTTGAGGGTCAGAAAGCACAAAGACCCCCAGTGTGCATAATACAAAAGATCTGCAGTCAGAAAGGCAAACACTCGCTTTAGGAATGGGGCAGTCAGACTCAGTGACGTCTGTGGAGTTTTCCTGCAGGACTGGTATCCTAGCACCCCGATGCAGAGATACCCCGGGATTTCATGACTTAATTTTTCAATACCAAGAATGCTAAGTCCCTGCAATGAGGGGGGCATGTGGTGTGGTGATACCTCCATGAAACAGCGACTGAGTGAAAATTGGTATTTTGGAGTTGAAAGATGAGATTCACATGCTAGCTCCGGTCATTGCCTGCGTGACCCTGAGCAGGTCATTTCACATTTCTGGGCTTTTGTTTCCTGAAGCTTCTGAGACAGACACATGAACAATTACGAGTGGGGATTTATTTATTAATTTCTCTTGGGGCAAACAACAGAATGCATTGGTGGTTTGCCAGTGAACTGCTTACAGAGAAGTCAACCCTGTGCTGGCTGCCCTGCACAGAGGCAGTTTGGTTCTCCCCACACATGCTCCGTCAGAGGAAGTGACGCCCAGACACACCTCTCCAGGCAGGAGGATTTGCTCCAAGTGGCCTGTTCCACGCATAGGAAAAGCTGATGCTGTGGGGCTGACAGGGGCTGACCCTTGCTGGGGAAGCAGAACATAGATGGACATGACTGAAAGGAAACTCCACGGCACTCTTGACTTGGCTCACCCAACAGACCACAAATGGAGCAAGGATGCTGCTGCCTTCAGTGTCAGCAAATCCCGGCCCCAACAGCCCCCAGACACTCCTTCCTCTCCCCTCCTCTTGCACCTTCTTCTATCCATAAATAGGCCTTGTTGTCCCCTAATCCCATTGGTCCCAGGAAGCTGGAACCATGGCTGGAAGTAGCCTTAGGAAGAGCAAACCTCTCTAGCCTTCAGGTGGAAAACATGAGGGAGAGCCCTTGGTCAGCTCAGCTGGGGCCCTGTGCCTATCCTCGGTCAATCATGGTAGCAGAGGGATAGGTCACTTTGACCATTGGGTCTTCTGCCCCGTTGTGCTGTCCAGTGCCCTTAATGGAAGAGCAGAAAAGGCCATAGGGTTGGCAAGGACTGCAGCCTCCCCAAAGCTCTGAGCTTTGTAGGCTTTAAGGGGCCACAGGAGCAGCAAGGTACACAATCCTTATGCTGTCGGACATACTACAACTGAGCTGGGGACAATAATGATAGATGCTCAAAGGAAGAAACTCTGAAGTCAGTTCTCAGCATCTCAGCATGTGGGGTGAAAGCCTGTGAACGTGGGAGTACAGAAAGTATCCCCAATCTAGGGATTTGTTTGTTTGTTTGTTTTGAGACAGCCTCAAGCTATCCCCCTGGGTAGAGTGCCATGGCATCACAGCTCACAGCAACCTCCAACTCCTGGGCTCAAGCGAGTCTCCTGCCTCTGCCTCCCAGGTATCTGGGACCACAGGCACCTGCCATTAACGCCTGGCTATTTTTTGGTTGCAGCCATCATTGTTGTTTGGCAGGCCCGGGCTGGATTCGAACCCACCACCCTAGGTGTATGTGGCTGGCGCCTTAGCCACTTGAGCCACAGGCGCCAAGCCGGATTTTTTTTTTTTAAGAGACAGAATTTTACTTTGTCGCCCTTGGTAGAAGGCCATGGCATCACAGCTCACAGCAACCTCCAGCTCTTGGGCTTAGGCGATTCTCTTGCCTCAGCCTCCCAAGTAGCTGGGACTACAGATGCCCACCTCAACGCCCAGCCATTTTTTGTTGCAGTTTGGCTGGGGCCAGGTTCGAACCCGCCACCCTCGGGATATGGGGCTGGTACCCTACCCACTGAGCCACAAGTGCCGCCCAGCATCCTAAATCTAAAGTGTGGTGGTTCACAGCTGTAATCCTAGCCCTCTGGGAGGCTGAGGCTGGTGGATTGCTTGAGCTCAGGAGTTTGAGAACAGCCTTAGCCAGAGCAAGACCCCATCTTTACCCAAAACAGAAAAATTAGCCAGGCATTGTGTTGGGACTTTGTAGTCTCAGCTACTCAGGAGGCTGAGTCAAGAGGATCATTTGAGCCTAAGAATTTGAGGTTGCTGTGAGCTATTATGATACTATAGTACTCTACCAGGGTGACTGAGTGAGACTTTGTCTCAAAAAAAAAATTAAACTAGGAATGTGGATTTCCAATGAGCTGAAAAGTCATGTTAATGTAATGAACAAATGAGCACAGTGCACAAAAGGAAAAAAAAATGTTGCCAAGCTCAGCAGCTCACACCTATAATCCCAGCACTTTGGGAGACCGAGGCAGGAGGATTGCTTGAACTCAGGAGTTCGAGACCAGCCTGGGCAACACAGTGAGGCTCCATCTCTATTAAAAAAGTACAAAAATTACCCAGGCAGAGTGGCAAATGCCTATAGCCCAAGTTACTTGAGAGGCTGAGACAGGAGGATCATAGAGTCCAGGAATTTGAGGTTGCTGTGAGCTTACCTGATACCACTGTACGCTAGCTTGATTGACAGAGTGATACTGTCTTGAAAAAAAAAATATTTTTCAGGATTGGGTATGAAAGGGAAAGGCCCAGTGTCGCATGCCTATAGTCCTGGCACCCTGGGAGGCTGAGGCAAATGGATTGCCTGAGCTCAGAGGTTCAAGACCAGCCTGAGTAAGAGCAAGATCCCTTCTCAAAAAATAGCTGGGTGTTGTGGCAGGTGCCTATAGTCCCAGCTTTTCGTGAGGCTGAGGCAAGAGGATCACTTGAGCCCAAGAATTTGAGGTTGCTGTGAGCTATGATGTCACAGCATTCTTCCTGGAGTGACAAAGGGAGACTATCTCAAAAAAAAAAAGGAAAAGAAATGATTGGAAAGGGGAAGAGTCAAAAATTAGGAAATGCAGATGAAATGAGGGGTGGGAGAGGAAAAAAGAGTGAGAGGAAGTTGTTTTTGAAAGGCCACTTTATTGATGGAGATAAAACTGAATGGAGTTCCCCACTGCCCTCCCCTCACTCGCATCAGCGGCTTCACTGGGCATCTGAGACCCGTGTGGCCTGTCGCCAGCACAGGCGGGCTGTTCAGCCAGCTTGGCACTGCCCCTCCAAGTCAGGCGGCCACATAAAAACACATCACAGCTCATAAAGATTTGTGGATGCACCTCTGAATCCCCCCAAAGGTTTCTGTGCATTTTTTTTTAATATTGTACAAAATATGTTAAGTAGGAAAGGTTAGCTGTACTGTGACATCCTCAGGACGTCCTTTCAGGATTACCATCCCCCAAATATTACTTCTTATTGCAGTAAGACTTCTAAAAGGAGAGCTGTACAAACAAAAAAAACCTAAATGATTTTAAGAAGAGCAGCATCTCAGCACTGCTTTAATTCATTTAAATTTTCTTTCCCAAAAATACATTCCTAAATATACAAACTATACAATCTTATCATCTTAATGCTGGTTTTTTTGTTTGTTTGTTTCTGCTTTTGGTAGGTTTGTTTTGTTTTAATAATAACAATAGAACCCACACAGAAAAAATCTGTCTTCAAACCAACAAGAGCGGTAGAGGACTTGTAACTTAGTACCTTCATATAACACCACATAAATAACTTTAGCCACAGTCAATGTTCACAGCATGGTGAGTTGGAACAAAGAAATACTTTTCCGGCGATTAGACATCATCTGCAGAGAGGGTTGGGATATTCATCCGAGGCCGTGTGAAAAATGCCATCTTCTCCCTATAAAAGAGGACATCCCTTTAGAGTAGGGGTTTTCTTTTTTTTTTGAGACAGAGCCTCAAGCTGTCCCCCTGGGTAGAGTCCCGTGGCATCACAGCTCACAGTAACCTCCAACTCCTGGGCTCAAGCGAGTCTCCTGCCTCCGTCTC